TTTAATTGTGATCAAACGATTAATGTTAACACAAAAACACAAATTGATTGTGAACATTTTATAATAAGCGAAGCACTTGAAAAAGAAATGATAGAAAAACGAGATTTGGATTATTTATTTGATATTTTCTATTGTCCAGAAACTATCATTAAGGAAGGTAAATTCACAGCTGGTCCAGGTTATGAAGATATTCAAAGAGAAATAGATTTATTTGGCGTTGAAATTGAACGAATCCGTGTCCAACAAGGGTTGTCAATCGAGAAATTTTGCTGTGATTTCAGATCAAAACATCATCAGAGTGTATTTGAACAAAAAATAAGAGAAAGAACTGGAATCAAAAGAAGAATCAGTTTACGCGACTTTTTTCCTTTTAAGCGGGAAGAATTCCCAAAGTTGTACGAAGTTGTGTGTTGCTGTATTGCAATAATACCAAGTTCTGCGTGTATTGAAAGGTACTTTTCAAATGTCAAATTTGCCCTAAGAGCCAATTTAAAAATTGAAACACTTTTTGCAATGCTTCAGGAAGCACTTGGCAGTTATCGAGAGAAGACTTCAATTTCTTTAAATTGATTTTGATATGTTTTAATATTAAATAATGTTAATATTATTATATTATTATATTATTTTTATTATTACATTGTTAATTATTAAATTATTAAATTATTAAATTATTAAATTATTAAATTATTAAATTATTAAATTATTAAATTATTAAATTATTAAATTATTAAATTATTTAATTATTTAATTATTTAATTATTTAATTATTTAATTATTTAATTATTTAATTATTTAATTATTTAATTATTTAATTATTATTTAATTATTATTTAATTATTATTTAATTATTATTTAATTATTAATTATTATTTATTATTTATTATTTATTATTTATTATTTATTATTTATTATTTATTATTCATTATTTATTATTTATTATTAAATTTTTTTATTATTTATTTATTATTAATTATTAATTATTAATTTATTAATTTATTAATTTATTAATTTATTAATTTATTAATTTATTAAACTATTTTATTATTTTATTATAAATTATAATTTATTAATTTATTTATTTGTTAATTTATATTATTATTATAAACTATTATAAACTAACATTATATCGTTATAATAAATATTAATATATTATTAATTTAATTGAATATAACCCCATAATTTGCATTTGATAGAG